AAAAAAAAAAAAAAAAAAAGATTTCTGGCTAGTTTGCCATTTGGTTGGTTGCCCCCATCAATGTCACTTAGATAATGATCCTCCTGATGCCAGCCACTGAAAACACTCTTGTTTTCAACAACATTCCTGGGTATAGATTTTTCTATGCTTTGTTCCAAATAAGGTCAGTCACCTCTTGCAGGAAAAGATAGCTACCACTCCTTATTATCACTTAGATAATGATCCTCCTGATGCCTGCCACTGAAAACACTCTTGTTTTCAACAACATTCCTGGGTATAGATTTTTCTGTGCTTTGTTCCAAATAAGGTCAGTCGCCTCTTGCATGAAAAGATAGCTATCACTCCTTATGGGCTGCCATGTTTGCCTACAGTACAGCATTTATGCCATAAACCTGGCAGTATAGATGGAAATAGGAACAGCCCCTAGCTGAAATACATAGTTCTTTCTTATTGATATTCAGTAGACTTTTCTTCAATAAATGGTTCTCACTTTGTTATATGTCCTTTGATCAGTTTTTGGAGGCTTTGGTGGTTAGTTTTGACAATCTTCTCCTTTTTTCATTGCTTTTACTGGAGAGAATTTGCTGAACTCACAGAATCTATTTGGAAGACCTGGACTGTTAGGATTCTTGTAAGATTTCCTCTAGTTTTTTCCCTCACTGCAGCCATTTTTTTCTCCCTCCTAAAAACACAAAGTCAGTCATTTCACCTCCAGTTTTATTTTATTATTATTATTTTTTATTTAAAAAAATAGAGACAGTGTCTTGCTGTGTTGCCCAGGCTGTTCTTGAACTCCTGGATTAAGACAATCCTGCCTCAGCCTCCCAAGGTGCGAGGATTACAGGCATGAGTCACCATACCTGCTCATCACCTCCAATTTTAAAAGTCTTGAAGTGCCTTTATGTTGTTCTCAGAATAAAAATGAAAATATGGTGTGGTCTGCCTTTCTAGATACAGTTGTGTGTCGCTTAACAATAGGGACACATCATGAGAAATGTTGAGTGATTTCATCATTGTGTGAACATAGAGTGTTACACAAACCTAGATGGTACAGCCTACTATACACCTAGGCTATGTCAGATAGGTTATTGCTCCTAGGCTATGAACCTGTACAGCATGCTGCTATACTGAATGTGGTGGCAATTGTAACACATTGGTATTCGTGTATCTAAACATAGAAAATGTATAGTCACAATACAGTATGGTAGTTTTATAAGACCACCATTTTTTATATGGTTTATTGTTGATCACATTGTTATACAGCTCATGGCTACAGTTTTATTCTATTAGTCTAGTCCATATCCCTCATTCTGGATAGTATCCAACCATTGTCCTCAATTTAGGGAGCATTTTGCTTTCTATTCCTTAAGAAAAATCAAGACTCTGACCTATGACATAAACATTGACTTTAGAATTTAAGAGATGTAGGTTTGAATTTCTGTTCTTCATTTATTAGCAGCGTGACTTTGAGTGATGTGCTTACATTTCTGTTTTCTCATCAAAATATGGTAATGAACAAATGATATTTTGTAAGGTTGCTTAAAGGCTTAAGTAAGATAATGTATGTAAAGCTATTAGCACAGCGCCTTGTATCTAGAAGGATTATTTATTCCCCTACATGATACTCTCCTCTCATCATTTCTTTGAGTAAGCAGTTCTAATGAAATAGTGGAGATATCAATATGCATAAGTAGATTCATTTCAGTATTACTGTTTCACCAATTACCTAAGTAAAAGTTATGTCTGAATTTCAGTTGGGTTCAGCACATTTATTGAGTGCCTGATCTGTTTCATAGCACGTGCTCCACATTATCCTTTTTTTTTTTTTTTGAGGCAGTCGTGCTCTGTTGCCCAGGCTGGATGGAGTGCAGTGACACAATCTCAGCTCACTGCAACCTTCGTCTCCTGGATTCAAGTGATTCTCCTGCCTCAGGCTCCTGAGTAGCTGGGATTATAGGCTCCTGCCACCATGCCTGGCTAATTTTTAGTAGATATGGGGTTTCACTATGTTGGCCAGGCTGGTCTTGAACTCCTGACATGAAGCGATCCACCAGCCTTGGCCTCCCAAAGTGCTAAGATTGCAGATGTGATTACAGATGTGAGCCATTGCTCCTGGCCCACCATTAACTTTTGAAAATATGCTTTTAAGTGAAGTATAATGCATTAAGAGTTTTTCTTTTTCGGGATGGAGTTTTGCTCTTGTTGCCCAGGCTGGAGTGCAATGGTGCAATCTTGGCTTACTCCAACCACCGCCTTCCAGGTTCAAATGATTCTCCTGCTTCAGCCTCCTGAGTAGCTGGGATACAGGTGCCCACCACCACACCCAGCTAATTTTTTTTTTTTTTTTTGTATTTTTAGTAGAGGTGGGGTTTCGCCATGTTGGTCAGGCTGGTCTTGAACTTCTGACCTCAGGTAATCCGCCTGCCTTGGCCTCCCAAAGTGCTGAGATTATAGGTGCCTTGGCCTCCCAAAGTGCTGGGAGTACAGGCCTGAGCCACCACACCCGGCCCAACAAAGTTTTTCTTTACATCAAGGAAAAAATTTCTTTTTCTGTAAGGAGACTATTAGACTGTTCATTTTTGATTTTGAAAAATCTTCAAACTTGTGGAATAGAAGCAAAAGTAGTAAAGCAAACTCATATATATCCTAACTGCAACACAATAAGTATATTTAGGAAATTTAACATTAGTATACTGTGACTATGTAATTTGACACTACATTAGTTTTGCCTTTCCTCCCAAATTATGTCTTCATAGCATTTTTTTCTCATGTCATCAGTCCAGGATCATATACTTACTATAGTTATCATGTCTCTTTGCTCTCCTCCAATCTAGATTGGTTCCTCAGCCTCTTTTTTTTTTTTTTTTTTTTTTTTTATTTTTTCTTTTTTATTACAAAGAAGTAAAAAATCCATGAACATGAACATATTTATGACATGCAATTACATATAAAACACAAAGTAACATTTTTTTTTTTTTTTTTTTTTACTTTTATGACATTGATGTTGTTGAAGGTCAACTGTTGTATAGTGCCTCTCAACTTGAATCACTCTGTTTCCTCATCATTTTATTTGGCGTATGCATTTTTGGGGGGGCAGGAATAATACGCAAGAGAGATCATATAAAAGACACTATGTTCTTTAAAGGTATATCATATGAAGAGGTATATAATGCCAGTTCGTTCCCCTGTTGGTGATGTTAATTTAGAAGACTCAGTTAAGGTGGTATCCGCTGACTTTATTTTCTCTAAAGTTATCACTTTCTTCTTTGTTGTTAATAAGTAATCTGTGGGGAGATACATTGCAATGGTGTAAGTATCCTTTTTACCAATACATTTTGATTCAGTAGTTTTGTATCTTTGATGGTACTTGTCTGAATCAGATATTACCAGGGTAGTTACAAATGGGAGTTATTAAAATTTCAAAATACAATTTCTAAGGGTTTTAGTTTTGGTGTCCCTGAAATGAGCTTTCTTTAATAGTAATAATTACAGAGTATTTGATTGTTATCTGCTCTGTCATGGCTTTAATTATTTTTATGATGTTTAGGTTCATGTACTGGACAGACTGGGGAGAGGTGCCAAAGATAGAACGTGCTGGAATGGATGGTTCAAGTCGCTTCATTATAGTAAACAGTGAAATTTACTGGCCGAATGGACTGACTGTGGATTATGAAGAACGAAAGCTTTATTGGGCAGATGCAAAACTTAATTTCATCCACAAATCAAATCTGGATGGAACAAATCGGTAAGATTGCTTTATAAGATTTTTTAAAAAATTTTAAGAAAACTCCATGAAGCCTTGGTATAGTAAAAGGACAAGACTTAATTTTATTAAGAAATATGTTTATTTTTTACTAAGTCCCAAAGGAGAAGAATAGTCTTTTAGTTAGCTCTTTAAAAGTGCTTTAAAAGTAATTATCATCCATCTTAATGGCATTTAGAATTTACAGACTGTGTTTATCATCCATCTTAATGGCATTTAGAATTTACAGACTGTGTTTCCTCTTTTCTTATTCTGAGCTAACTTAGTTCTTCAGTGGTTCTCTACCAGGGATAGCATCTTTACTCCTTGTGTTTGGAAACATGTGGAGAATTTTGTCTAACCCAAGGACTGGGAGCGCTACTAGTATTTTAGTTCCGGGGGTGAGGGGAGGTCCAAGGTTGCTAAACATCCTGCAGTGTGCTGGCCATCAGTACAACAAACAGTTGTTTCACTCAAAATTACCAGTAATGCCGCCAAGTCCTGCTAATGGAATTTGTTTGATAAATCTCTGCATTAGGACAGGGTTTGGCCAACATTTTCTGTAAAGGCTGAGATAGTAAATATTTTAGGCTTATGATCTCTGGTTCAACTACTTCTGCTAGTGTTGTTTAAAAGCAGCTATAGTAATGCATAAGGGAATAGGCATGGCTGTGTTCCAGCAAAACTTTATTTATTATGTATTTATTTATTTTAGACAGAGTCTCACTCTGTCACCCAGGCTGGAATACAGTAGTGTGATCTCAGCTCACTGTAACCTCTGTCTCCTGGGCTCAGGCGATCTTCCTGCCTCATCCTCCCCAAGTAGCTTGGGACTATAGGTGCATGCCATCATGCCTGGCTAATTTTTATATTTTTTGTAAAGATGGGGGTCTCACCATGTTGCCCAGGCAGGCCTTGATCTCCTGAGCTCCAAGTGATTCATTGGCCTTGGCCTCCCAAAGTGTTAAAGTTACAGGCATCAGCCACAGCACCTGGTGTAAAGGTTTATTTGTAAAGCACAGTCAGTCTGTGGGGTACAGTTTGCTCATCCCTGGACAAGGAGAAAACCTACTGCAAGTACCATACATTTCAGTGTTCAAGGAAGACAAAGTAATACATAAACATGGAATTTCTTCTCAGATTATGTTCAGATTTTAAAAGGCATTTTATATTTGCATTCCTGTATTTTATGACAATTTTGGTTTTTGGTCACAATCTGAGACCCCACTAGATTAGAGTTTTTGGTAATTGAAAGATTTTTTCAAAGTGTAAACATTTGTCAATTCTCTGAACCAGGAATAAGGAACATTTAGAAGTATTGAAAACCAGGAAAAGTTTAAAGGTTCAGTTAAACTTTTTTGTAATCATGGAGTATTTTTTGCCTTCTTTCAAAAAAGAGTGAAATGACGTACAACAATATGGCTTAAAATAAATTTAAGTGTAAAAATGTAAGTATATGATGAATATAAAAACAAGCGTTGTTTTTTGACCTCAAATCTGGCTGTGAGGGGACTCTAGGAAGATGGATGTGGCCATGTCATAGTTTTCTTGTTTTTGTTTTCGTATTTGTTTTTAACTAAAACTAGGTAGCAAATCCAAAAACCTGGATAAAATTGACTATAGCCTTAGGCATTTGAAAGTACAACTAGATAAAGGCAAACCACCAACAGTCGCAAGACCTGTGTTATCAATGTCTATGCAAGAGTAAGCAGAGAGACTTAATAGGGCATCTCCTAAGATTTGAAAGCGGAGGAACGCCAAAATAGCCACAACTATGTGCTGGACAAGATGGTGGGTTATTTTAAGAACAGCAGCTGAAATGGAAGGGTGGGAGGGTTGCCCACTCCAGTATTAGGCAAGTGCAGTGTGACCATGGTAAAGACAGAAGAAGCTAGAGCAGTCTAGCCCCAATGAACTCTCAAAATGGAACTACTGAAATGAACCTGCCAGAATGCTCATTCAGGACAAAGCACCACACTGATTAAAACAAAACTGAATAGGTCAGAATAATCAAAGTTGAGCAGGATAGGAGCAGTAGAATAGAGAACAGGAGGGGAAGGAAAGAAGGTTCGGATAAGGATAGGAAGGTCAATGGCTAGTAGATCTCAGAAAGCAAGCTTACCAGGTTTTTGAACATTATGTGAAAATAACAGGAGGCATAAATTCTGTGACATTAGAAAAACTACCTTGAAGTCTACTTTATTTTAAAAGTTCAGGAACACTAATTTTACATAGACAAGAGAAACAGAAAAGTGTCAAGGTGAAATCCCATTTAAAGTTATTATAAAGGAAGAAAGAAGGAGGAACAAAATAATGTCTATATAAACAAAAGCACCCCAGAAAAACGTGACCACAGAACAGATCAGTCCTCTATTATAAAATGAGCTGGAGAAGGAGGAGGCTGCGAATCACTTATAAATGACGTGGAAGCAGGACCCAAAGCCTAAATTCCAAGAGGGTGAACAAGTGCTGTGCTTTCGTGAGCCTCTTCTTTATGAAGCAAAATGTGTAAAGGTTGCCATAAAGGACAAACAAGTGAAATACTTTATATATTACAGTGGTTGGAATAAAAATTGGGATTCATGGGATCCAGAGAGCAGAGTACTCAAATATATGGATGCCAATTTGCAGAAACAGCGAGAACTTCAAAAAATCAATCAGGAGTAGTATGCAGAGGGGAAGAGGAGGGGGCTGCCCCAAGGAAAGAAGACATCTGGTCTGCAACAGAAAAATTGTTGAAGTGAAAACAAAAAAGAACAAACAGAAAATACCTGGAAATGGAGATGGTGGCAGTAACAGTGAGATGCTTCAGTCTTCTTGGAAGAAAAGGGCCTGGGTAGATCGTACTCTTGAAAATGAGGACACATTCATGAACAGAGTTGAAGCTAAAGTAAAGATTCAGAAGAGCTGAAAATTACCAGACCAAAACAGCTCTTTTATCTTTCTACCAAGAAGAACGTGGATTCTATTCTCTATGATTATGCAAATTACAAGCAATTTCCTGGAAACACAGATAATGAGTATGCTGTTAATGAAGTTGTGGCACGGATAGAAGAATACTTCAACATTATGTTGGGCATCCAGCTACTTTACAAATTTGACGGACCACAGTATGCTGAAATTCTTGCAGATCACCCTCATGCCCCCATGTCCCAGGTGTATAGAATGCCACATCTACTGATGTATGAATTGCAGGAATGTTGGCCTGTACACCTCTGGATGAGAATAGCCTTGTTTTGTTTTTGTTTTTGTTTTTTGAGATGGAGTCTCACTCTGTCACCAATGCTGGAGTACAGTGGTGCGATCTTGGCTCACCGCAACCTCTGCCTCCCAGGTTCAAGCAATTCTCCTGCCTCAGCCTCCTGAGTAGCTGGTATTGCAGGCGCACGCCACCACACCCGGCTGATTTTTGTGTTTTTAGTAGAGACGGGGTTTCACTATGTTGGTTAGACTGATCTCGAACTCCTCGTCTCGTGATGCACCCACCTTGGCCTTCCAAAGTGCTGGGATTACAGGCATGAGCCACTGCCCCCGACCAAGCCTTGTTTTATCACTGTATATCTTCAGTTTCCTAAAGTACCTGGCAAAAAATTCTGCAGCCTTTTTTAGTGCCGAGCTATTATGAATGGCTCCTCCTGAGTACCATCAGAACGCTGTGTGAATGGCGCCCTCACTCATTTATGTTTGGATCTCTGTAAACGCATTTTTGTTCTTAGTCTTTTTCTTGTACAAATGATGTACTTTGAAGATGTTATTGTATGAAAATTGATGTTTCTTTTCTGTTTGATTTTAAACAGAGAAAATAAAAGGAGTAATAGCTCCTTTTTTCTTGTCTTACCTTTTTTTTTTTTTTTTTTAAAGTCAAAATTGCTGCCAGTGTATTCAACAGTGGAAAACAGAGGCACATGCTGTATTTTATTGCCTAGTTGACAGAGCTGCTTTTGAATGCTGCTGGTTCTATTCCTTTGACCCCTATGTACTTTTATAATATGTGTTCATGCTATATGTCAAAATGCTGTGACTCCTGTTGTCAAAGGTTCAGTTTGGTGTATAACTGAATGCACTCATCCATTTGTGCTCCTTTTTTTAATAGTGCTTAAATAGCCTGTTCTTTGCAAGTCGTCCATGTTGTTCCTTAGGCATTTTATCTTTGTTCAATTTGTTGAAGAATGGTGCCTTGTTGCATGGTTTTTATATTTGTGTCTAGTGCACATTTTGACATGACAGATGCAATATATTGTGTAGCTAGTTTTCTGGAAAAGTCAGTCTTTTAGGACTTGTTTTTCAGATCTCTAATAAATTTTTTCTTGAAATTTCAAATGCATAAATGAGTCAGAAGTCATTGAAAGCAACAATATCACATGTGAAAGAACAACATAAGATTAGAAAAATTCAGAAATGATTCATGCCTGTAATCACATAACTTTGGGAGGCTGAGGCAGGTGGATCACCTGAGGTCAGGAGTTCGAGACCAGGCTGGCCAACATGGTGAAACCCCATCTCCACTAAAAATATAAAAATTTGCTGGGTATGGTGGTGCACACCTGTAATCCCAGCTACTCAGGATGCTGAGGCAGTAGAATCACTTGAATCCAGGAGGTGGAGGTTGCAGTGAGCCAAGATGCACCATTGCACTCCAGCCTAGGCGACAAGAGCAAAACTCCCTCTCAAAAAAAAAAAAAAAATCAGAACTGTAATGATAGAAGAATTAAAAGAAAAAAAATCACTTCAGAAAAGAAAACTAGAAGGGACACAAAGTCGAATAAACCAAAAGGCCTTTAAATAGAGGTTGAAAGGAGGAAAATATTTGAAGACCAAAAAGAAATACAGAAAGACAAAGATTTGAGAGAAAATGACAAATATTGAAGATAAGCAAAGAAGAAACAACATACAGATGATAAGACTCTAAAAAGAAAAGCAAAAGAGTAGAACAGCTATGAACAACTGTAGGAAAAGTTTCTTAAAAGAAGATTTGTGACCAGGCACAATGTCTCACACCTATA